GCTGCCTCCTGCCCCGGCCCTGTGGGCAGCACTGAGAAACCCAGAGCGGGTCACTGCCGGCTTCGCGACGAGCGGCAGTGTTAGGACGCGCTGTGGGGATGGTCGGGTGCAGCGTCTCTTCTTCCAGACGCAGGCCTTTCGTGAAACACGCCCCCTCCACCCACCGGGGTGTTCCGAACGAAGGGCGCAGTGAGTGAGGCTGGCCGGACAGCACATCCTTCTAGCTCCTAACACCAGGCCTACGACCGACACCTCGTTCAGCTGTGGGCTGTGTTCAAACGGCAATAGTACCGAACAGTGAAGCCCCTTCCAAGTGCACCGTGTGTCTGGACTCTCTGTCCTTCACTCGGGCTCGAATCAGCCGCCTCCACGGCACGCACCCCCTCGGCTGTCCCTGGCCTGTCGACCGACAGCAGGAAGGAGGTGAGTGAGACGGTGGCAGGTGGCAGTGGGAAGAAGTCCCCTTTGGGTTCATTCTGCCTGTGCAATAATAACTGAGTGTGTGTGTTTATTCCCTGCTGCGAATTGGATGCTAACTTTTTTTAGGCCCAAGTCTTTTGAGCAGCAGCTCATCAGGTTCCCGTGTCTTTTCCATAATAATTTCTCTGGCTTTGCAATTTAGCATAAAGAACAAACATGTTGGGTCAAACATTTTTCAGAGTGATCCAAGTAGCTGTTTTCTAGTCTAAAACAGTGAGTGATGTTCACGAACCAATTTTCTCGAGGTTTACATTTTGGGAGCGTTATCCGTGACACATGCAACGTAATGCGGAACGCAGCAGTGCCCGCAGGCAGCGGTGGCCACAGCAAAGCAAACCCCGCCCACCAGAAACACCAGGGAACCGGAGGCGCGAACACGTGAATGATGGGACAAGGCCGTCCCTAGCTGAGTCAGTGGCAATGAGCCCTTTTGGTCACAGGCTTTAAAAATTACCCTCGTGACCAAAAGTCCTACAATGTGGACTCCTGGCCTCAAAGGGCAGTTTCGGCACAAGGCAAGGTTACCAGAAGGTTCTGAATAATAAGATGCCACCTATAAACTTTGAAGGGATTTCAAGGGGGAAGAGATGGCTTGTTTAGCACAGTGAAATGCTCCTCTAGTCCAAACCAGTTATTAGTACTGAAAACTTGACTGCTTCTACTACTCAGTCCCGGGGGGACCCAAACACGTGCAGTTTGCTTTCCATCTGTTAGTTTAGTTTGTTTTGCACCTGCTGGGGCTCAGGGACAGACAGCCCGATGCCACGCAGCCCCGGCCAGGCGGTGGGCGGGGGGCCCTGCACTGCGGTGTGGAGGTGCGTGGGTGTGGTGGTGGTCAGAGCGGGGGCAGAACAGACCTTGTATCTGCTGAACCGACGACTGAAATCAGTTATTTCTGCCAGTAATTAGGACTGCCGCCAATTCTGCGACTTAGAATTTTTATCGATTTGGGTGAGCCGTGTACCTCTCCTGGGCCTCGGTGTCTTCATCTACGAGATGAGATTAGAACGACAGGGTCTGTGTACCCCATCCAGTGACGCAGGTGGAAACCCCAGTGAAGGCGTGTGACGACCGAGGGACCAGACCTCACTCGCTCCCAGCCTGCCTGTGCTCTGGGGTCCTTCCACGTGGGAGCTGCTGACCGTCATCTGTACGGACCACCGACAGTGCCATATACCAGGGGTCAGGAATGACCACCGTGACCTGGCATTCCTCTCAAAATTCTGGGCAACGTGGTACTGGAGATTCAGTGACACCGGTAATTAGGTCTAAAAAGGTGCACTGACCAGCCCTGACTGGTGTGGCTCAGTGGGTTGGGCGCTGTCCTGTGAACAGAATGGTCCCCAGTTTGATCCAGGTCAGGGCACATGCCTGGGCTGTAGGCCAGATCCCTGGTTCGGGGCATGCGAGAGGCAACCAATGGATAAAAATGTGCACCGACCACTATTTGTCTCATTTTGGCTCTAAAAGACACTTAGTTGGCGGAGGCACTGCCATCCATGTGGAGCTCACCATCCCCATGGGCATCACGGCCCTGACCGTCCAGCTGAGCTGAGGCTGAGACACGGGGGAGTAGTAATCAGCATTCTGGGTGGAGGTCAAGGGCTGGACTTGGGTAAGTAGCAAAGAGGAACTGAGGTCAGGGACTCAGCAGATCAGAATCCAGGGGCTCAGGGCCCAGGAAGAGCCAAGTTTGGGATCAAGGGTGACCAGACGCAAGTCCCCCCTGTTCAAACAGAACACTGAGGGGCTAGAGAAGTTTCCAGAGTGGCCGAGCCACTCCCCATTGGGCTGCACTTCAAGGGACGGGACTGATGTTCTGCTGGGTGCTCCCGAGAATCTCGTGACCACCTGTCCAAGGGGACACCCCCAAAGCCACCTTTCTGTTCTGAAGTCCCTTCCTTCTTGGCCCACCGTTGTCTCTGTGATCAGCTGCCCCACAGTGCCCTTGCTCCTATCTCACTGGGGAGTCTCTACCGGCCCTCCCCCTAAACACACCACCCTGCAGTGGGCAGTCTCACTTCCTCTTTGTTCCTACCCCTCTTCCCTGCCATTGCCTCGAGCTATTTTCCCTTTGCGTCCCCACAGTGCTCCGCTAATTTTTACGGGACTGATACTCTGTTTCGTGTTACGATGATTAGTACGTGTCTATCACCCTGTGAACCTCTGGAGGACAGAGGCTGCCTGCGTTATTTACGGACACCCGCAGTTCCTCGCTTACTGCCTAACACTGGTGGGGCTGATGACTATACACACCGCATTCAATTTTATGATATTCTGACTTTTAAGAGAGGATAATCATATTCCCCACCCCCATTCTTCTCTTATTCCAAGGTGTAGTTATAATAATGTGCTCACATTACACAGTCATGTCTCTATAAATAATACAGCTACCGGTTCCTGTTTCATTCTCTTCGGACGCAAATACACTTTTCTGTCTTCCTGTTTCCCGTAACGCTTTTTAGAGGGAACAGTCTTTCGATCTTTCCAGACACCGGGAGCACGTCATTCTGTGAGCATCCTGTCACACCGTGGGCAGCTGAGCCCTTCCCGGTCACTCCCCGGTCTCACCCTGTGGCTCCCTGCATTCGGCTACGTCTCTGGCGCATTTCATTGTCCTGGGCAGGCGGGCGGGCACGCGGTCCCCTGCATTTTAAAAATGACGCTCTGGGACTCACTGTCTGGCCCTTTCTCACTGCTGGTGGCTGTTCCTCACACGGGCACCTGCCCATCAGCCGCTTCCCTCCCCGCCCCCCACATCCTCAGTCATTTCCATCACGGGCCCCACAGGCTGCGCATCGGCTTTGCGTGGCGCTCTCGGCCCTGCAGCTCTGGTTGAGGAAGCCGTGCCCTCACCCTCCTTTCCTCAGACACGCTCTTCAGTTCTCTCCCGACCACGTGTCCCAAGTCTGTGTCAACTCGAATCTCCTACTTCAAATATGACCTTCCTATCTCGCCAACTGTCAGATTTCGAAATTGCTTCTGCTTCATTTCCAGTTGTGGCAAAGGGCCGTGCAAGGCGGTGGGCCTGTATTATGTCCAGTGCTACGAGCGTGTGGACAGGCTGCTGCAGGTCGGGGCCAGTCTCGGGCTGGGAAGAGCCTTTCTCTTTGTGAAGGGACTGTCTGGGCCCGTGGTGCTCCTGGGCTGCAGGCCACAAGACACTGGGGGGCAGGGGCCGGGACACACACACACAGAGCACTGACTCAACTCAGGGCTCTTACCACAAAGGACACAGGCCAGTCCTGGCAGACGCAGGTGGGGAGTGAAGCGCTGTACCGGTGTCCCCAGCCCCACGGGCCCCCTGGCCACTGGCACGGTGCTAGGACCAGGGTGCTCCTTGGAGGGCTCCACTGCTTCCCCGAGATGCCCAAGGTGAGGCTGAGCCATTAAATGGGAAAAGAGGACCCTCGAACGAGACATGCACTAGCCCACCACGGAAAACACAGCACTGAGGTCATTACAAAGATGGGGAGGGGATGCCAGGTAGGAGGAGCTGTAGCGAGAATGTTTTAATCACTCATGTTTCACAGTGATGTCAAGGGTGGAAATCTATTATCTAATCAAAAGGATTTGTGAGGACTAATCATTGGCATTGTATCCAACCAGGAATTAATAATTCAGGCCTAACAGCCGTGAAGCTTCGCAGCCAGTCGTGGGACACGTGCTGACTGGCGGTGAGAAGTTGGGTGGTCAGCCTTCCTCCTTGGCCCTCAGTCCTAACGGGAGGGGCCAGCAGGGTGGGGTCAAGGGGCTTTGGATCTACAAGGTCCTGAGGCCACTGGGGGTGCAGAAGGCCAGGGGACCGACTGTTCCGGAGGGCCAGGTTGAGGGGCCCATCCAGCTGCCCAAGTGTAGATCACTCTCTGCCCAGGCCTGGCTGGGAAGGGCAGGAAAGAGGCTCTGGCGCCAGGGTCCATGATCTTGCAAACACTATTACATGTTTCTTCCCTCTTCCCGGGAAGCACGCAGACAGTAAAATGAGTTCGAGCTGCTTTGGAATACACAGTAGGGCTCTCTGGGCGAGAAGCCCACTGGCAGCTTGAAAGATTGGGTTAATCAGACACAGGGAAATTTCTGATTAATTGGACAATTATTTCAAATTCTGAGAGAGCCAAGGCGATATCAGAGAAATATTCTGACCAACTGGGAATAAGTTCAATAGCCTGCGGCAGAGCTTTTTAAGCTGACGGGGGTTGGAATACATTGGCATCGCACGTCTGATTTTTTTATCTCCCAAACGTGCAGGGCCTCTAACTATTTTTTAAGACCCATATTATGCAAAATTACTTTGGTGTTAAACAATTTTGGAAAATCTGTCTGCCAGTCCCTTGAAATCACTTCAGGACTCTCTAGGACAGAGCGAAACCACGGCTGGGGACCAGGAGAGTGGCGCCACTGTGTTTGACGACGGAAAGTGGCCCAGGGCCACGGGCCGCTGCCTCCCTGTGTGAGCAGGCAGCACACAGCGCACCTCTGTCCCGGTCCCTTCTGGGAGTCTGCAGGTGACAAGGTCTCACCTGGTGGGAGCGTGCTTCTGTTCCTCCTCCTCATCCGTGTCGCTGCTGATGGTGATGACGCTGACCGTGGGGCTGGGGGTGTCGGGAATGACGATGGTCTGCCGCTGCCTCTCCCTGGTCGTGCTGGAGGCCCCGTCGCCCCAGCCGCAGGTGACGGCGGAGCTGCAGGCCGGACTGCTGTGCACCAGGGCGCAGCGGGGCGGTGTGTTTTCCTTGACGCGCTTGGACCGCTGAGGGGAGCTGGTGGCCTGAGAGGAGGACACCTCACAGGTGGAGACATTTCTGCAATGAGAAAGCCACATACTCACGAAGGAAGGTCAGCCCAGCAGCATCTTCCAAGGAGTAAAGTGCCTAGAAATCCCAGCTTTGCAAACCTTCACGGGACAGTCAGAGGCTGGGGTGCTCAGACTCAGTCTGTGACCAGCCGCAGAAGCGGCCGCCCTGGAGCGCTTCCTTTCAGGTCGTCACTGCACAGACGCAACAGCAGCCTGGCCTTCGCAGGGCTCTGGTCTGACTCTACGTGCCTGCTCCCAGATGGACAAAGGGGACAGCCTGGGCTGTAAGGATGGGAGGGACTGTGCCCGGGGACTGTGCTGGCAATGGTGGAGTCACATGTAATGCCCAGGATTTAAGGAGTGTCTGCCCCAACACAGCCCAGTCTTCAGGGTCAAGGCCTGACTTCCTGAGCTCTGTCTTGTCAACCTCCCAAGCATACACAGGTCTCGTCTGGGAGAGAGGTGGAGGAAATGATATTTGACACATAAAGCTGTGGTTTCTTTGCTAAAGGCTGGTTTACCATTTAATAAATGAAAGCACTCAATTTTTGGTAGTTTCTGATTCTAAAGGAACTAAAATGGGTGGTTAGCTTTCTTTCCTCCATCCTCTGGGAAAGGGACATGACCATGCAAATATCTGTGTATGTAGTTTTCATTAAAAAAAAAATTCTTCTGGATGTGGACACCTGAGCCCCATAGGAAGCTTAACAGCCTGTTTCAATTGTAATGAAAAATTGAGAAAAATGCAAGAGGAAAAGGTGTGTTTAAAAAAGGATCTTTTAGCCTTAATTTTGATTTACTTGAAATTCCTTAGCAAATTAGCCAATGTAATTTCTGGCAACTTTAAGGAAAAAATACCTCACTTTTCCCCATCAACCCTTGATACCAAAGCCAGCCTGTGATGGAACTGAAGACTCTGACATGTCCTAGAGAGTCTAGTGTCCTCTGGCTAAAGGGAAGGCAGAAAGATGAAAATTCTGTAAGGGTATATCTATTTAATTTTCTATTTAGTTGCTATCAGATATGATGCTTGTTCCTTTTTCCAGGCTGGTAATCATATGTTTTACCAATAAGATTGTCTCATTGTTTGTCCTTACCATAGTATTTGTTAGTGGTAATATGTTACAATTTTGAGATTATGTTTTCACTATTTCAGTAGTTAAAATACCTCCACTTGGCAATGTTAAAGAAAAGTATGCCTGGCTGCATACTGCTCTTTCAGGCTGTTTTGCCACAATACTGGCCTTAAAAAAGGTCAATATGTCCACTATAGCAACATCGATCTTGAAATGTACTAGCAAGGAGTCCCATAACACGAACTGGGTCATGAGCAGGAAACTGGGAGGGACTTGTCAAATCTGGGAGGCAAAGGGTGCTTAGCCAATGATGCCACGGTCGGCTCTGCGTCAGATCAGAATTCTGTGACGGCCCGCTGGACGTGCCTGATGGCACATGAGGACTGAGGTGGCGGCGGTTACTGCTGCCTGATCTAACAGTGACATGGGGGTGTTGTCACAAGGCTGCCAGACATAAGCATTTTGGATGGCTGCCACTGAGCTGAGGTGAGTTTCCGAGTTGTCAGCAACACCCAACGAAGGAACCTGGAAGGATGCTGACTTGAGCAAGTCAGTTCTTGGATTAATTTCTGAATGAGAGTGTAAAAAGCCAGGCCTAATTTCTGAAGCCTGACTATGTGAGGAGGTAGAAAACTGAACTGCTGGACATTTTATACCCTGGACTTCTCTTAATTATTCTATCTCAGATAAGCAGTTGGGTACCTCCACATTACTGCCACTGGAGAGAAATGTAAGGTAGTTCTGCAGCTGCACAATCTTGATTTCAATTTTTTTTTGTTTGAAAATCTATTTTTTTAAAGTCAGGTTTATTGAGGTACATGTCCAGTAAAAGTCTCCCTTTTGAAATACTCGATGAGTTTTAACAAATGCACAGCCAGGTCAGCCCACCCCACAATTCAAACACAGAACTTTCCACACCCATCTGTCAACCCCCTCCTCTCTTTAGTCCCTGGCACCCCCTCAGCGGCCCTCTGTTCCCACAGCTTGGCCTTTTCCAAATGCCACATCCGTGCATCCCCAGGGCATGGACCTTTTGTTCATCCCGACTTCAAAGAGTTCACTGAGACTGGATTTAAAGGGAACAGGCAAGGTTGCGATTGTTCTGCTAAGATTAACCAAGTTATGGCTTATACTTAAACAAGCAGTTAAAGAGGTTAAACTTCTGACCTTAGATTTAAAAAACCCAAAACCACATTTTTAAGAAAAGTTATGGTTTCCAAATGCACCTTCAGAGGTGAGTCTGAGTGTTTTCTAGAGAAGCGAACGGGGACAGAACCGCTCACTACCCTGGCACTGAACACAGACCCCGAGGCAGGGCCAACGTTGCTCGCTCAAGAGCGAGCCCCTCCTTTAAACCCTAGTGCTATCGGTGTGGCACACCGTGCTCTGCGGGCCACTCCGCGAGCCAGGTCCAGGATCCAGAGCATAGGCCGCTACCCGACACCGCTAAGAGGCGTCTCTAACTTCTGATCTCCAGAGGTCTCTCACCTCTAGGTGACAGACACCACTTACCTTGCAGAGGACTGGTGCTGCTTGGTCTTCCGAGACGAGGTGGTGCTGGTTGGCTGCTGTCGCATCACGTGGGCCACGCCCACATTTAAAGGCTGGGCGGCTGGAAGGGTCACATGACCAGTCAAGAGCGCAGGCTGCTGCATGATGGGATTGTAATGGCTGCCATGAGCGTGCGTGTTCCTGCAAGGGCGGTGGGAAAACAAGGCTGTTTATTGGGTTTATAAAGACAGAGCTCTTTTCTAAGCTAAAAGTTCCTCCCCAGTTAAATGCCAAATTAAACCCCCAAATTGGTTATGCTGCTAGCTTGTGGGATTAGTGAAGGGATGAGCCTAGCCAGGCGAGCACATCCCAGGCGCAGTGGTGTTTAAGCACTGCTCTGAAGGAGTGGCAGGAACATAGTTGGTAAGACAGAGGGTATTTCCAGTGGGAGGAAGGCCAAGAACGCAGGCTCCACTAGAGTTCTGGGGAGAGCAGATAAATACTCTCTCCAGCTTTAAGAGCATTTACAGATTGCCTTGGATGGGTTACCCCACTCTGTAAGATAGGCAGAATATATATTAGTAACACCATTTTACAAACGAGGGGATTGCCGTTCATGTGAAAAAACAAACGCTGAAGACTGGGAGCTGTTCGTTTTCAGTGTTAGGAGTGTTAACATTCTTTTGAATTCCTTCGGTGGCTAGCTCAGTGCTCAGGCACGTAGCCACTGATCAATTCATTACACGCTTGCTGAATGAATAATTAAATCAACTGAAGGTTGCCTAGACATGGTTAGAGTTCAGTATTAAAATTAATAACAGGCAGACACGTTGATAAAAATACGGACAGCATCATCCAGAAAAGGGGTTCTGTTTGAAAAGCTCCACGATCCTGGTTGTATGGAGCGCATGGACATGTTTTCCCACAGCGGTATTAAAAGTGGTGATTAATGCAGAAACTTGCCCATAAAAGCTCACTTAATACATTAAAAAAAAGCTATAGAGTTCATTTGAATTTTTAAAATATTATAAAACTTATCCTTGCAACTTGGGGGAAATGAGTGGGGAAAAAAGGAGGGGACACTTTTGGAGAGATTGTGACAATTTTGTAGAGTCTTTTGGACATTTATTTGGATTTTAGAAACTGATGTTATAGCTTCTTTATTTTGTTGTTGCTATTTCTATAGACATGGCTCTCTTTTTCCCTTTGACACAGGTCTAGCACTGGCGTGTGTCTATGGTTTTTTAGCTGTGATTCTGGATGTTTTGCGGTCCACGCAGGAGCTGCAGAAAAGGAAGTGTGCAGACTTTTAGTGTGTTCCACTGTAACCAGGTGAGAGGAGGGATGAGGAATGAGAAAACACGCATGAACCGGTAAGTACTGCTGAAGCCTCATGAGCTGTGAATGCTGATAGACACAGGGGAAAAAAAGAGTAGAACATATGTGTGGTCCTTTTAGGAGAAAGAGGGGTGAGGAGAAAAGACAGTTGGTTGAACAGGTTTCCATGTGGCTGCTGTTCCTCATGAGCTGGAGAGGGCAGGTGGTCTTGCTGACAGGAACCGAAGCCAGTGGGGGAAGATAGGTTTATTTATTGCTTGTCGTGTATCAGGTGCCGGTATGGTCCGTGTTAACTATACGCCGAGCGCTTTGTATTTTATCAATTTAGCCTCCCAACAGTCCTCCGAGGATTGTTACCCCCACTCTACTGAAGGAGAAACTGAGGCTCATAGAGGTTAAGTTACTTGGCCAGGTCACGGAGAACCAGAACTGAACCCAGTTTTACCTGGTCTGAAAGTACTTCCAGGGATGGGGGTGCTCAGGGGAGGCTGTGATCAGTGAGCAGTGAGTGGGGCTGCGGGAAAGAGCCCGTCTACCCCTCTCACTAGTCAGAAAATTAAGCTGCAGAACAGAGGAAGCTGCAGTTGAGGCTTGACTAGGGGCTTACATCTCTGCCTCTCTATATTTTACTGAGAGCTCTTTATTCACAACAGTCTTTTAGGTCAGAAAAGGACCCGTGGGGGCGGCCGCTGGCTGGTATGGAGTCTGTCAAAGGGTGGGGGGGTATGACCTGCCCCGAGGTGTGGGCTGAATGACAGACAGTTGCTCAAACTCTCTCTCATGGGGCATGGGGAGCTGGAGACAACTGAGGTGCCATGTGACTCTGCACTGGTGAAGGGGGCACCGTGGTGGCGTGGGGACAGAGTGGGGGTGAGGTACAAGGAAGAGTGGGAAGTGGCCAGAGAAAAAGGAGCGGAGCACTTGGGAGAGGAGGTCAGCGAGTGGGAGGGGTGGGGCCAGGAAGCAGCAGCAGGGGTATGGCGTGCTGGCGGGGGTCAGCGGAGGCCTCTGGGGCACGTGGGGAGCGGACTTGGAGCTGAGAGATGTAACCGCGGACTGAAGAGCCGCCGCAGGCGGCAGACGGCACCATGGAAATAAAGCCTGTTCTGTCAGGCCTTGCCCCGGGAGAGTTGGGGTGACTCCAATGTGTCCATGTCTCACAAACACCTTTGTAGAATTGCTGCGGAACCTCGGGGACTCTCTCCTGCATTCTTTCACTGGTGACAAATCTTTGTTTTGGGGGAATAGAATTTAATCTGAGAAACAGTTAGAAATCACCCAGAGCTGAGTCCTGTGAATTACACTGTAAATGGTGTAGCTGAATTTTTCAAAAGTGACAACTGACCATAAAGTAGTGAAGCTGGTTTTCTTGTTTCCTAGAACACTTATTTAAAAGTTACATCTCCTTACACCGTAGTCATAGTCCACATAACCTTTTGAATTTGGAAGGTTTTCTGCTCAGCAGGACTTCAAGGCCCGGCCAGCAGCTCTCCTGGGTCCGTGCTGGGCCTGCCCCCCGCTCCAGCACACGCCAGCTCTGCCACTTACCTCCAGTCAGCCAGCTGCTGGGTGCCTGCCATGGTCTCGGGGATCACGGTCGCGTGCTGCACCGACGTGTGGGTGGCCACTCCGGTCAGCTGCTGCCACGCGGGGGGGAGCAGGATCTGCTGGGTCCCGCCGGGCCAGGCCTGCTGTGGAGCAGAATGTGTCTGCAGTCACCGTGTGTTAGTCACATGGCCGACGTGCCTGAGTCATGCACTTATCTACGCTAGACCCTGTGATGGGGGTGCGGGGGGAGTGGAGACCTGGTTTTTGATTGGCTGGGAGAAGGCAGGAAATCTCTTCATGGAAGGGCAGAGTTTACAAGGATTGGGCAAGCAGTCACCTCCACATCTTGGGGGCCCTGCGTTTCTGTGCCATTCTGGCTAGCGAAAGCGGGGTTTGAAGCCTGCCGTTTGCATAGTGAGAGCAATTCAGTACCCGGTTTTGTGAACGGAGAGCCTCCTGCACTCAAAGCAGGCTTTCTTTCTACTCCTGCCTCTCGCACTAGTCCTCACGGCTTCCTGTCACTGGCACAGTTTGGTACTGCGTTGTTTAGAAACCACCGGACCAGATCGAGAGAAGGAGCTGCGGCTGGTTCCAGGGCATGGCCACTGGTTCATCCTTCATCTGAGCAGCAGGGACCCAGGCCAGTCTCCCTGTCATGGGAGCCCAGATCTGCAGAGTCACGTGCACTGTGAAGGGTGCTTTTAACTCCTTCGTCCTGTTTGTACGTGCAACCCGAGTAAGCCCAGACCCAGCTCTGAAACAAGCCATGATTGGCCTCTTCCTGGCTAAAACAGACATTCTTCATTGTTTGGTTGGGTGGAAACCAACGGGCCCGGCATTTCCGACTTTGTGTCAGTCCTTTATTCACAGCAGAGAAGAGCTTTGCCTTCTGCTCTCTTGGAAAAGTGTGCCTAGGGTACCGTAAACCTCCAGGGGGCTTTAACCTGAAGCTGTAATTGGGAAAGTGGAGCCAAAAAAATCTGTGAACAGGATTTTAATCGCTACAGTGTTTATAAGAGAACTGCTGGAAGCGAGTTGAATGTTCACGAGTGGGGGATTTGTTAGATAAACTGATGTGTGCTGAAGTTAAACTCCATACAGCCGTTTACAAGGACGTGGTAGGCCAGTGTGTCCTCACAGGCATGCGTTTCTAGGACCCACTGAGTGACAGACCCCTGCCCTGCCCACTGTCACACTGGGCCTTCTACTCGTCGCTTAACCTATGCCAGTGTCAGCCTGTGACAAGGGAGCGGTCCCCTAGGTATTTTCCAATGGTCCCTACAAAGGACAAAATAAGCTAACTTATAAAAATGAGTAGGGTAATTGTACAGAAAAGCAATAATTAGACATTTCAACGGATGCCCTCATTTTTCTCTGGGTAAATCTTTAGGTTTCAGGCAGAAGCACTCCAAATACTATTAGTTACTTTGAATATATACAGAAAGTGGGCATCATTCTTTTCATCTAAATATTTAAACCCTTTCAAGGATTTTGTGTGGACGGTTAAAGGCAGAGTCTTTCGAACCCATTCCGCATTAGCTGTGTCTGCTGCCCCCTCTCCTCCCACCTCCGCAGTGGCCTCACAGGCCCTTCAAAAGGGGGCGTGTCTCTGGGGCGCCGGGGAGGTGCGCTGGGAAGCCCACCCCATTTCAGTGCCGTGGGAGTGAGCCCTCCGGGTGCCCTAGCAACGCGGTTTGATGCGGTTTGATGCGGCCCAAAGGCTGCTGTCGCCTCCGGCCTCCGAATGCAGTGTGATTGTGACAGCGCAGCCCGTGGTTGTGCCTCACTGTCCCTTTTTGTCAAAAGGCGACAAATACCTGACGGTGTTGTGGAGATTAAATCAAACAGAACTGGAAGGTGCCTGGCACAGTGACGATGTATCTGTTATTAAAGTTCGTGTCCTTGCTATCAGCTTTGTATCGCGAGTTACCTTAAACTCCCACGACACTGAATTTTTCATCACTTTCACCTGCATGACCTGGGCTGCCATCGGTACCCATGTGAACAGATACAGAAGGTGCCAGCTCACAGCTTCTGTGGCCCCGCCTTTTCGAGTATAAAGTGAAGAAATCATCCCCAAGGCTTTTTTTGGCTCTAAAAAGTAATTTCTATTTTGCAAGAAAAAGATGTTTCTTTTTGGTGGCAAAGGAATGTTAACTGACATGCCTTAGGTCACAGAGAGTTATTAGTAGAGTTGGGATTAAAACCCAGGCCTCCTATATTAACTTGCATTACAGAGATGCCATCATCATCATCATCGTCATCTCCCCCTCAGACTCTCCCAGTGTCTGAATTTCTTCCTGGAAATGTAAGCTAGGCACTTGGAAGGGTAATTCCCTCGAGGGTCATCCAGAATATTAGAGAGAGGTTCTAACGACTCCAAGTGCCTCACTCACTGCCAGGGAGGGACTCGGTGGAGAAACGTCTCTGTGGCCGCATTAGGTGGATAACGGCAATGCGAGGGATCATAAAGAATTACCTGTGCGAGCAGACCTGGTTGGATCTGGAGAGGCTGAGCTCCTGGGGCTTGAGTGACGATGGGCACAGCATTTTCCATTCGCACGGAGTAGCCAGCATGCTTGGAGGGAGAGGCCTGCAGCCCTGCCCCAGACGGTGGGCGGAGGGGGAGAAGGTTGAGTGCTGGGAGCCAGCCGGACGGAGAGAGGGCTCCCCCCCCTTCCACGCCCGCCCCTCTGGGTAGTGCCTGCTCCTTTGGTAGTTTCCGCTTCGGTTTTTAACTTCAGTTTTAAAAAAGGCAACCCCACCAAACAACCATGAACGTGTTCAAACGCTAGAAGGTGAAGTTAAGGAGTTCGTGAAGCCCAAGGGGAACAGGGAGACCGACACATCATGACGGGAGCAGCAGGGCTGTGACAGGAAGACGCACCGCATACGTCACCGCGTCACAGCCGGGTGTGGGGAGAGGACACAGGGGTCTGTCTGCAGTGGCTCTGCCTCTGAAACTGGGAGGCCGCACAGGCTTCCCCATGGGGTTCACAGAATCAAGTTCTCGAGCTTTCTGTGTAAACTGTAACCAAGTACACGGTCAACTCCAGCTTCTTAGCTGTTCTGGGGAGAGTGTGCGGGTGCACGGCTGAGGAATCACTGGGCGGTGGCCTGGGAGGTACTTTTCCCACCGATTTATATTCTTCATTAGACCTGGGGCTATGCTGGCAATGGGGGTGGGGGTGGGGCGTGGTGAAGGGCACTTTTCTACAGATGAGCCGCACAGAGGGCATTTCCTGCCAGAAGCCCAAGAACTGATACAGCCTAACAATGGGACCCCAGACGAAGTGCTCAGTCACAGCCGGCGGGCCAGGGCCAGGGCCAGGGCCAGGGCCACTGGCAGGTGGTGAGAACAACCAAGTCCCGCTGTTTCTGGGCTGGCCACGGTGGGATGGGGCCTCACGTCCAGTGATGCCGAGGGCTCTCCCCCAGGGAAGCCCGCCTGACAGCGCGGTGTGGGGTGTGCCTGGCCAGCAGCAGGTGGGAAGCCGGGCCTGCTCCTCCTTACCTTGGAAGCCGGGCGGACACACGATGAGGGCTTGCTGGAAGGGGTCGGGCCGGGCGCAAATCTGGGCTGTTCCCGTCTGCAGGGGCAGGCTCCGCTGGGCCACCGCAGCCATGGAGGCCGCTGAGGGCTGGTAGAGTGCAGATTGGTAGTTTAGTATGGAGACTTCGGGATTGGCTAAGGAAATAGTGGCACTGGTGGAGGTGGGAGCCTAAAGGAATGATGGGGATTGAACAAAAATAAACAAAAATAAAAGATGAGGGCAGAGGCATGTTGGGAGACACGAACCTAAATCAAATAAATGAACTCAAAGAAGAACGAGCAAACAAAATCCAAGGGCAAAGGGGCAGAAACAGAAGGGACGTGCAGTTGGAAAGTCTCAAGGAGAAGCCGGGGCCTGCAGCCACCTGGGACGGTCACCCTGGTGCTGATGCGCAGGCCTGTCCCTGCCATCGGGGGAGGGGCCCGGACCAGAGCGCCGGTCGGTGCTCCCTGGCCAGGCAGCTCAGGTGGTGAGAGCATCGTCCCAATGCGCCAAGGCTGTGGGTTCGATCGCGGGTCCGGGCACATACAAGAATCAACCAATGAGTGTATGAGTGGGTGGAGTAACAACTCGATGTTTCTCTCTCTCTCTCCCTTCCTCTCTAAAGTCAATAAGTACAAATTAAAAATTAGGCTAAAATGATCTAGGTTGTGCCCTTCAAATCTGACAAATACACCTTCATCGCAATAGGGAAAGCCAGGTCTGAGTCTGGGACTCCTGGACTCCTGGGTTCTGCCCTGGAACGTGGTGACGGGCAAGCTGAACCCGTCTTCCTTCTCTTCCTGTCCCAGCTCTGTCCCCACAACCCGAGGGGCTGTGGGCGCCCAAACGTGGACCCGAGGGCGCAGTCCACACTTGAGAGGATGAACCCAGGAAGAGGCCCCTGCAGGGCCAGGGTCCCAGGTACCCAGCGCGTGGCGCGGAAGCACGCATCCCGGGGGGAGCTCGCAGGGGCCCTCCCGTTCGGGTCTGAGGGCAGCAGTGTTTATAGACGCCCTTGGCTGGGCGCACAGCAGTCACCGCAGAGGGACTGTGCTGCAGAATCGGGGAGGGGGAGGGGGACACACAAGCCTGGGGTTTCCTCTGTGAGTGTGTGGATTCGTGCACTGGTGTCCAGCTACCAAGCCTGGAAGGCAGACAGAAAAGATCCTGGCGGGTCAGGAGTCTTGAAATGGAGACGGGTTAGACAAACAGAGAAGTTACGCCCTCCCTCCTTTCTCAGAGAGCAGCGCCACTGGAGACTGGACTTCCTCCGCGTGAAGCCAGGCGGCGGAGGGAAAGTAACTTCTAGATTGGGAATTGCCCATCTTAGCTTTTCCACACTGATCCATCGGCACGGTGGGTGCGGGGTGCCAGCGGCTTCAAAGTCACCGTGGTTTACAAGAGGGCTGGCCGCTCGGGGTTACAAGGACTAAAGAATGAGGAGGGAAGAACCATAGAACGTTTTGGACACATACAAAAGCAGAACTAGGAGAAGGGTATGTATTTGTGTAAATTTGACACACAAAAAGGGATAGGCTCCTTTTACATGTGTTTTTACACCTAGATTTATGCTGCATTTCAGTGCAAAGCAAGTTAATTTGTTTGAGGGTGAGTGCTGCATGGCACCGTGTGCGTGTCTGCAATTTCAGATCTGTGCTGTGATGCTGAGCATGTCTGTGCAGTGCCATGTGGCTGGCCTCTGGGCATGAGTGTGAGGGGAGCGTGTGCGGCACGCACGTGTGGGCCGGCGTCTGCCCGACGCCATGCGTCTACCTCCTCCCAGTTCCCTCTGCGTCTCCGTGGCCCTGGGGCTTCCCCACGCACACATCCCCACTGTCGGCTCCGCCCCACAGGCCGAAGTCCAGACTCTGTGCGGGCCTGGAGCCTTGGGCTTCCCTCTTTGGGGCACCAGTGCCCTCCACTGTCCCTCCGCTGTGACCTCTGGTCAGTCACTGGGCCTGCTGCTTCTTCCTTCGAAGCGGCCCTGAAGCCCATGGGCTCATGTCAGTCGCCCTTCCCCAGTGGAGGCCCTGACCAGAGATGGTCTGGCCTCCACTTTTCTCTTCTAGTTCTTCTCGGGCAAGGAGGCCAGAACGTTATCTCTGAAAGACGACTCGGTGCACGTCACTGCCCCTGCTCACAAGACTGTCTGATGGACACTGTCTACGCATTTGGGCCTGGCGCTCCGCGTTTCCCACGGTTTGGCCAACTTTCCCTTCTAACAGCTCCCCCCTTCCCTCCGTGCCCTTGGCAGCAGCAGATCAGCCCGCTCACTGGGGTGCGGGTTCTGGTGACAAGGAACAGAACTGTGGTGCGAGGTGGTCTGGCTGTGGACACTTTGGCCTGAGGGCTGGGCTAGGTGCTGGGAGGGATGCCGTCTCTGCAGGCGAGGCCTCAGAGGGCACTGGCTCTCCCCCCTCAGGAGAACTTTCAGAAGGCTGGTGGCCCCCAGGGGGCAGCAGATGCCGGGGGCCTCCCCTGGAGTTGAGGCAGAGGGCGAGAGTAGGCTGGGAAGTACAGCCAGGCCTGAGCGACCCTGTTTGCTCTAGGAGCGGCCGAGGAAGGCAGGGTCCCTGCTCCTGGTGATGGGAGGGGCTTGTCAAAAGGCAGGGCATGGCCAGGCGGAGGTGTTCATTCACCCTTCAGGATCAGAACGCATGCACTCCTCTCTTCTGAAGGCGTGTGTGTGCGCATGCGTGTGTATGTACACAGGCGTGTTCTCAATGCACACCGATATTAAGACTGAAAGAGTTTGTGGGGACACCTTTGGGGGAACAGGGAAGACTGGAAGATGGAAAGAAAAGGCTCTTGGACTGCAGAGCTCGCCCGAGCCAGGGCCTGGAGATTAGTCAGTCGGTAACTATTTCCTGCATGTTAACTGCTAGATCCTGCTAATTTTCTGCAAGAGGCTAATCTGTGGAAAGAAAACCTCAGTTTCCTGGTTCCTCTCAGTTACAGGGGCTGGAATTCTGGTGACCGATGACCTGGAGGAAGGACAGGTTTTTCTGTCTTGAAAGGAGGCTGCACGGACCCCGCAGTCTGGGGATAAGGGAGAGGGGCCCACGCTAGACAATCACTAGTGTCCCAGTTCTGGAATTCTTTAGCAGGCAAGTGCCAAACTACAAGGATCACAGCATCTCCTGTATCTTATTTGTACATCGGGTAGAGAGAAGCGGTAAGAGGAGCCCTCTCAGAAACAACCCCTGTGGAGCAAGAGCGCACACAGCTTGCTCAGAGGGCCACCAGTCACACTGAGTCCCTGCGGCTGTCACAGGAAACAACCTTGAAGCAAACCCCTTCTCACAGAGTTGCATGCACAGTAGAGCAGTTCTGTCTGCTGACTGGCTTTGCTGGGGACGTACAGCTCCCGACGGCCACCGTCAGCCCCGCCGCCTTCTCTGCCCCCAGCTTACCTGGTTGTGGACAGTGTTCAGCTGGTTGTTGAAGGTCATGGTCAGGTTGGTGGATGTGCTGGGGGCCACGTGCGTGATGAAAGGGGTTTTGCTCTGGTTCACGGTATCATACATGTTCACCCGACGCTTGCAAATCTCCATGTTCTGGAAACATGATTTGACGCTGTTCATGCAAAAACGCAGAGGCAGAGGCATAAGGGAGGGAGAAGAGGAACAAAGGGGAGAAGAAGCCGAGAGAAAGGACAGAACGGTTAGTGCAGCGAATGAGACAGCTTCAGGGGTCTCATTCAGGTCCGGTTAGGGCGACTTCAGGTCTGAGTCTCCTGAGTTTCTCGCAGGAGTCCGAGTTTGCAACAGCCAGTGTTTTTTAGGTAAGTCTTGCCTCACCCTGGACAGATGGGTTTCTCCACAGCCCCACAGACCCACCCGGTGGCTCTCACTGACTTTTCCGCCTATTGCCCATCTGTCTCCAGCGTCACTGCTCATTCTCAGCTTTCAGTATGGCTTCTGGCCCATAAATGAACGTGTAAATTCTCTGGTTGGGAACAGTGAACGGCAGGCAGCTCGGGACCTGCCTTCACCTCTAGACAACTCCCAGCGCTAATCCTTCCCAGCTACTCTGGGGCACTGGCGCCATCTAGGGGCCAGCTGCGGAACTAGCCAGCCCAGTATCATGACCCCACTGCCCACTTTCTCCCCACCAGAACTGTACATGTAATGAGAACGGTGATAATATTAATAATTAATATAGTGGCCAACAGTGATTGAGAGCCATGATAGTTGTGTACAAGAAAGACTCTTGCATTCTGTCCTACGACAACCATGAGAGGGAGGGTTGACTGATGCCCCTATTTTAGGAGCAAGGATGAAGTTTAGAGAAGGCAGGAAGTCTGCCAAGGTCAAGAGCTAATTACAGGCAAACTTCACACCCACACACACACACACACACCCTCTTTAACTCCTTCTGTCCTTTCTTTTTGTTTTCTAATTCTTGCCCAATTACTAAAATAAAAAAATTCTCTCCCTTTTTCTTTCTTCATTGCATTTGTGCTTCAAAACAAAACCCTAATTATGAAAGGAAATGTAAAAGTGTTGCTGGCACCAGCTTGAGGCAAAGGAAAACCACAAGGGGCCTCACCCAAGTTCTGGAAAATCTGCCATAAAGTGTTCAGAATTTATGTGTTGTTTCTCACTCACTTCTGTGTCTTGTAAGTAAACTTACTTCTCCTTAAATGCTAATATTCAAGATAATAAAACAGTATATAAAGTTGAACTTCAAAGACTTAGTTTAACTATAACATAATGACTAAATATAAATATAAATAATTTTCTTTTAAAGAATTAAAAGAAGGTTTTCGTCCAAGATGGAGGCGTAGGTGGAAACATTGTGCCTCCTCACACAACCAAGTTTAAAGACCACAAGGTTTTAGTAACAAAAATGCAGCCAAAACACAGAAAATTGAACTGTACACAAGTTGGACAACAACAAACCTTTCAGCCAGACCGGTAAGAGGGGTGGAGCCAGCGGCTGGAGGAGCCAGGTCATGCAGGAAAAATCTACCAGACTGACCCACGCATGCAGGCGGCGGTTGGCAGATCCCAGGCGTGGGGTGGCAGTGGGTAGACGCAGTGGCAACGGGTGCACGCAGGCGGCTGGCTGACCGAGGTCACACATTCACCCACAGATAAACCAGGCGAAGGAGTGAGCAGTGAGACAGAATGTGCAGGCCCCAGTGGCTTGCGGGAAGCAGCAGAGGGGACCGCCATTGTCCCTCTCTGACCCCGCCCCCACATACAGTGTCACAACCCAGTGACTGAGTTGCCCCGCCTGGTGAACACCTAAGGCTCTGCCCCTCATACATAACAGGTGCAACCAGACCAAAACATTATGGCTCAAGAACAGGTCAAAGACCCAGAGCCAATAATTCTAAGCAACCAAGAGATAGCCAATCTATCACATGTACAGTTCAAAACACTGGTGATCAGGATGCTCACAGAACTGGTTGATTTTAGTCACAAATTAGAAGAACAAATGAAGGCTAAACTAATTGAAATGAAGGGAAATGCACAGGAAACCAATAGTGATGGAAAGGAAACTGGGACTCAAATCAAGGGAATGGACCAGAAGGAAGAAAAAAATGATCAAACAGAAAAGAATGAAGAAACAAGAATTCAAAAAAATATGGAGAGGCTTAGGAACCTCCAGGACATCTTTAAACGCTCCAACATCCGAATCATAGGGGTGCCAGAAGGAGAAGAGGAAGAGCAACAAGTGGAACACTTATTTGAACAAATAATAAAGGAGAACTTCCCCAATCTGGCAAAGGAAATAGACTTCCAGGAAATCCAGGAAGCTCAGAGAGTCCCAAAGAAGTTGGACCCAAAGAGGAACACACCAAGGCACATCATAATTACATTACTCAAGATTAAAATGAAGGAGAGAATCCTAGAAGCAGCAAGAGATAAAGGGACAGTCACCTACAAAGGAGTTCCCATCAGACTGTCAGCGGATTTCTCAAAAGAGACCTTACAGGCAAGAAGGGGCTGGAAAGAAGTATTCCAAGTCATGAAATCCAAACACCTACATCCAAGATTGATCTATCCAGCAAAGCTTTCATTTAGAATGGAAGGGCAGATAAAGTGCTTCTCAGATAAGGTCAAATTCAAGGAGTTCATCATCACCAAGCCCTTATTACATGAAATGTTAAAGGGACTTATCTAAGAAGATAAAACAGATGAACAGTGAAAGGACAGCAAACTCACAGTTATTAAGAACCACACCTAAAACAAAAGCAAACTAAGAGGACAGCTAGATCAGGAGTGAACCATAGAAATGAAGATCAGGTGGAGGATTAGCAACAGGGGAGTGGGAGAAGGAGAAGGGGGGAGAAGGTACAGAAATTAAGTAGCATAGACGGTAGGTAGAAAATAGGGGGGAGGGCAAGAATAGTGTGGGAAATACAGAATCTAAAGAACATGAGACACGTGTACATAAACTAAAGGGGGGAATGGTGGGGGAGGGGTGTGCAGGGTGGAGGGGAATGAAGGGGGGAATAGGACAACTGTAATGGCATAATCAATAAAATATATTTTAAAAAAGAATTAAAAGAAATTAAAATGAGCCCTGGACGAGCTCAGAGACTCCCCTGACCCCCGAGGTCATGACTGCCCACACTTTCCGCACGACCCATTCCAAGTCAGCATTTGCGACTGTGGACCCTGGGGAGAGAGGAGAACGTGCCCCACTGTAACCACAGGCTGAAAAACCTCCTGGCTGGTCAGGCCAGTGTGCCCTGAGCATCACTACGTACTAGGCGTACCGGTAAGTGCGTTCCCATGGCGGCTAAAGGAATACAGCAATAATTCCTCTGGGAAATGTATTGAAAGTGTACGGTGGTTTTGTGACAATTCAACCAAAAGCTTTCAGACTCAGAATTTTCTACCTGGGGTGGACTGGCACCTACACTTCGGGTTACTCCTGTGAGGATGGTTTTTAAGGCACACGTGCACTGGAGTCCTGGTCCAGCGACACGGTGAGCTCCTTTCCAAGGCAGAGGTCTGCAGCAGGTGGCCCTGCAGTTTCTCCTGGTCTTCCAGTAAGTTCTAGGGACCCTTAGGGACGGGGCTGCTCTCAGGCGAGCCTAGGTGTGCGCAGAGACCCACCTCGCCTTCTGAGGCCCTTTTCCTGAGTTCTGAGTTGTTGGTGGTCCTCCTGGGACCTCAACCACGTTCTGAACTCAAAGCTAATGCTCACGGTGTCTGTGCTTGGCGCTCACCCGTCCAGTGAAGCACCTACTGCTGCTTCCTCAGAGCCCCAGAAATGGGGGCAGCCAGCCATGGTGCCCACTTTCCGTGGGTGGCTCTCTCTCAGTGCAGGTGGCTAATGGGGCACCCCCTCCATCTCCCATCCATAGCTGCTTCTCAGTTGTCCCACTGCACCCCTGAATATGAGAAGACCGATCTTTTGGGGGCCTATCCAGTAATCGCCAAGCCCGCCTTCCTTCTGTGGTACAGACTCATGCCCACCTGAAGTGCCCCAACCACACTCAGAAACGGGACAAATCCCATAATGGAAGTTTGCAAGGGTCCAAGTCCCTTCTCTGTACTCGAGTTGCTTGTCTCAAACACGGTTGTAAATTAAAGACTCTCTGTTTGCTGCAATGCAATCTGACTTGCTTAACACCAACTCACAAAAAACAGAAGTGAAATCAGAGGAAACGCCAGCTGTGGCGGGTGCCACCCACTCATTTATTGCAGGCTGGTTAAGGTCAGGCCTAGCCTTGAGACTCAGCCCCATCTGAGTCTGGTCAGGGCAGGGCCAGCCTCGATCTGCAAAGGTTCTCTTGTCCAGCCTCTTCTCTCGTCGTCCCCTTTTCCTCCTGACCCCAACTAACGCCTGGTGCTCCTGAGCACCCTGCTCCTCCCTGCAGACACCCAGAGGGTGTGACTTTCACCCCGAGGGCCTCCCGGCTGAAGTAATACCCCTCACCATTCTCTGTTACGGGTTGATATTTGCATCCCACCCTGAAATTCATGTGTTCAAGTACCAACCCCCCATACGTCACAATGTGACTGAATTTGGAGATGGGATCTCTACAGAGGTAAAGTGGGGTCACTAGTGTGGGCCCCACTCCACTTCAGTGGGAGGAGGAAGTCGCGACACAGACTTGTGCCGAAGGAAGACCGTGCAAGGGCTCAGGGAGGAGATGGCTGTCGACACGCCAAGGAGAGAGACCAGCTCTGCCCAACTGCTCGATCTTGGACTTCAGAACTGGGAGGAAACATTTTCTGCTGTGTAAGCCCTGCAGTGGCACTTTGTCACTGCAGTTTCTGCACACTAGTGCTCCCCCAAACTCTCTGGCCCCCACGGCCTCTTCTCTGCCCCTCACTCCCTGGGCCTGGGCCAAAGGCACGGCCTTGCACTTTACCACATGACCTGCCCACCGTGGGAGACGCCAGAGGTCATGCCGATCAGCTGCCAGAACCCCGGCTTCTCTGTCACTTCTCACCTCCAGGGGCCTGTGGTCAGTACCAGCTACGGATTCTCTGGACCGTCGAACCTGAAATGGCCCCACTTCCACAGACCACAGATTCGCACATCTCGTCCCAAATGAGCCACGTGTCACCCATCGGGCTCGTTGGACAACGACTAAAGTAACAATCTCTGAGTTGATGAGACCATCAGTATCTCCAGACCCCTCCTATCTTTCCTTCCTTTTCAGCGAAGCCCCCGACAGTCATCAGTTTGGACTGCAGCGCCCTACTGCCAACACCACAAGTCTGTCAGTCTCTCCCTCCCCTCAGCAGTCCGGTGAAACTGCAGCCTGGAGGAACCCCACTGTTTTCTCCAGCCTCCACGGGTGGGGGGAGGTCAGTTACACCCCACTATTCCTGTCCAACCTCCACACTCAACAGTTCTACTGCATCTCTGTCAGTTCCCACCCCCTTCCACTCCACCCACCTAAACTGCTCTCCGAGACACTTGCTCTCCACAAGGGAAGACAGAACTGTCGGAAGGGCTCCCTCAACTTGCTCCTGCTAAACCAGCGCCCTGGCCGACCTCCACGCCCTCCTTCCTCCACCGTGACCCGCTCGGGACCCCAGCCCCTCCCACTGTCTCACGGAACCTCTCTTTGGGCATCCTTTAATTTCTCACTTGCTACCACACATGTCCATCAGCATTTCAAATTGCTCAAGTCTCTTCCACCTTAAAGCAAGCCCCCCTGGGGCCCTCCCCAGTCACCCTTCCATTTCTTCCCACCCTTTCAGGGCGTCCCTTCTTGAAAGGGCTCTAGGGGGACTCTTAACCTGCTAAGCTGGCTCCCACCTCTATTGCCCACTGGACAGCTCTAAGTTACCAGCAGCTTCCAAGCTGTCAAATGTGACGGCCATTTCTTCTTGGCTCATGCACTTGACCGGGGAGCGGCAGACAGACCTTTGTTAAACATGCTCCAACCAGCGCGTTCCCTGCTCACAAGTCCTTCGGTGAGTCCCCTCTGGTCTTAGGATCTAGACCCAAACCCGGTACATGGGAGGCCCGCCGGCTCAGCCCAGGGCCCCACTGCCTCTCTGTCCCCCGGCTCTCAGCTCGGGCAGTGCCTGGCCCCTCCCGCTGGCCTCCCCGCCGGCTGTCAGTGCTCCCCTGTCCCAAGTGCGGCTCCCTCGTTACCTGCTCCCATCACACCCTGCACCTGCCCTGGGAACAGCCTCGGTGTCTGGACCTTTCTTGCCTCTGGACTGTAAGCTGCTGTGGGCAGAGGCCCCGTCTGCTCTGTCCCCCACGGCCCCCCAGCACCCAGCCCGATGAATGAGCGAACCCAACCCCAATCAGGCGGCACCCCCTCTGGAAGGGCTCTGGGAGGGACCTTTGGCACCGAGAGTGGCTCTGCTTCATGGACCCTGCCGTTCTGAGCACCCCCTTCACGCAGACACCCAGAGTCTGGGCCACCCGGCCTTGAACTTTCCCACGCTCCACCATTTCCTCCCTTTTGGTGTGAGGCAACCTGCGGCTCCGGGTCCCCATCTGGCCGCCACTGTGTTTATAAATAATGCTTTACTGGGACACAGCCTCGCTCATTTGTCATGTCTTGTCTGCAGTTGCTTTCAGCTACAGTGGCAGAGCTGAGTGACTGCAACAGAGGCCACGTGGCCGCAAAACCTGAAATATTTACTCTCCGGGGTTTAAAGGAGAAGCAGCGCGCAGGAACCTACTGTGTGCTGTGGGGGAAGTCGAGGAGGTGAGTCATGGTGACGAAGGGGTGGTTCAGGGTTTCGATGGGAGTGACCCTCTTGTCAGCGTCGATGGTCAGCATCTTCTTCAGCAGGTCGATGAACTCCCGCCGGTCGGCCTTCTCCACCAGCATGTCGCTCCCCTCCAGGTCCGTGGCCATGTTCACCTGGGAGCAAGCAGGCGCAGGTCACCCGGACTCTGCTGGTCACCCGACTGCCCCTCTCTGCCACTCCACCCCAATCTCTCAGCCACCCCTTCCTGATCGCCACGGGCTCCGTCACCGGTCACTACTGCTCACAGGCGAGGCAGAGGGAGCCCCGTGAGGGGAAGGCAGGGGTCTCGGCCGGTCTGTGGAGTGGCAGGATGCACCCCCCTGCCTTAGTCAGTCAGATCGCAATGCACCCACACCACGCCGCATGGACAGGAGCCCAGACGAATAGGGTTCTATGGCCTGGCTGCAGAACAATGTGAATGTACTTAAAACTCCTGAAGGTACAGTTAAAGACGGTGAAATGGTAACTTGTAGGCTACGTGTATTTTACCACAATTAAAACAGTAACCGCAGCCGAGCAGTACACAGTAAGATGCGAAAGGCTGACTTATCTGACCTGCGAGGGAACGTCGGGCGCTCAGTGCCCTGCCTGACACTGGCAGGTGTCGGGCCTCTGGCGGCGCCCGGAGTGGCGGCCAGCACGTTTTAGTCCCTGTGCTCACTGGGGGCACCTCTGGCCGGGACGGGCAGGGCATCTGAACACGGATTCTTCTTCCCAGATCAAGTCTACATTCTAGGCCAGCCTTTAAGAGACTTGTTTTGTGGTGCTTTCTGTGTTTTCCATGACACGCCCTGGAAAGCGACATCAGTTTTCTAGGACAATGGAAGCTTCTGGTCAGCTGACAAGTGCACTTCGCTCAGCGCCATGATATTTGGTTGCATGCACCTTTGGTAAGAGGCATGCTGAGTGCTTAGTGGTCTCCAGGCTTATTTCAGACTTGTCCTCACACTACAAAGAGCTGCAGCTCTAGCAGCTTCTCTGGGCGCAAAGGTGGGGGCCTGTGGTCCCTGCAGTGAGCCAAGAGAGACAGAGTGTGACCACGGAACTGTGTCTCTGCAGTAGATGAGCGTGAGCCCCAACCTCCGGCACTTGTGAACGCGCCCTTACTTGCAGACGGGGTCTCTGCAGATGTGCCCAGTTAAAATGAGGTCACACTGGAATCGGGGGGGGGTTACATCCAACGACTAGCGTCTTTATAAGATGAAGGGGGAGATTCAGACACAGAGACCAGAGGAGACCCTGGATGAAGCCACATGAAGCAGGAGGCAGAGACTGGGGGGATTTAGGGACACTGAGGGTACCCGGGGGCCACCAGAAGCTAGCAGGGAGGTAAGGGGCGCTTTCTCGAGAGAGTCTTCTGGGGACCATGCCCTGCTGGTGCTCTGACTTTGAACTTTGAGCCTCCAGAACTGTGAGACAAGGAATGCCTGTCATCTCAAGCCACCCAGTGTGAGGTGCCTTGTTAGGGTGGCCCTGGGAACTACATTGAACCAAGGGCATTAAACTCAAACGTGCCAATGGGCTTACATTCTCCTCATGAAAATGTCAGTAAGACTGGCCAGCACTGTTCCACAAATGGGGACCGATAAGCCGATGCTATTTCTAAAGAGCTGGCGCTAGCTTTAAAAACATGTTCCTCAAACCCAGTGGTATTCTTATTCAGGCTGGCATGTCATTGTTCAGGGTCAAGGACAACCACGGCAGCTGAGTCGACCCTATAATGGTCTGGCAGAAGCCTTGCTGTGCTTGGCTTTCAAAGGGCTGACACTGTGCACTCACCCACAGAGCTTACCTGGGCCATGTCATCTAGACAGTTGAAGATGTACTTCCTTGCTTCTTTCGACTTAATCCCCGTCTCTGCTTCATGGTCATCTGGCGTCTGGTCAAGAGAGGCGAAAGCCGATTGGTAATCGGAATTATTTCCTGGTCGCTGTAACTTAAAGCCTAGAGCTTCTGTGTCCCACGGAGGTTCTTTTTCCCACCTTTCAGGGAAGGAGACTTTGACTCCTCTTAAAGTGGCCTGCGCACTGGTTACTTTCTCCCTCTGTCCTCACACCACCTCAGTCCTCTCCCTTCCTTCCCAGACACCTGCTCTGCATCAGGTCTGGAGGATTCGAGGTGGACCAGGTACCTGTGATAACCCCGCACTCTTCCCTAAGTTAAGGGGTAAGATTCCACACGTGGAAAAGCAGAAGCCCTCCTTCATGTGACTTAAAATTTTAATTTTTTTATCAAACGCTTATACACATAGCTCTCACTATGTGCCAGACACTGTTTTAAAGCACATGAACTCACTTATGACTCTGTGTAGCCCTCCCAGGTAGGATGATTACCAGCCCATGTCCAGAGGGACAAACAGGAAGGGAAAGCTTAGGAGCTCGCCAAGGTTCAACGGCTCCGGAGTCTGTGTTCTGCTCCGCCCTTCCGCCTGGGACTGGGGACACGTGGCCCTTCCCCCATTGGCCTTGGTCTGGGAAGCTGCTGTCTGCGATGACTATGGTTTCGGGAGGCACCCATAGAACACAGGTAATCAGTCCTCAAAATCTCCCTCAAGAACAGCACACGTGGAGCTAAGATCTGGGCTTCGATCCCACCAACAGCTGGACACGTAGGACTGGGCGCTCAGCTGAGACTCGGAAGCGGACCCCGCCCGGCCTCGCCCTCCTCCTCCGCTTCTTCCCTGGGCCTGACCTGGAGCTTCCCACCAACAGCCCGAGGGTGCTCACTTAGCTAGCTTCCAATTCTTTTGTGACTCCTGGTCTCCCATTATCTTTCTTTTGTTTTTCAAGAAATTTTTAGTGACTCTATTGGGTGACATTGGTTAGTAAAACTATATAGGTTTCACACATACAATTCTATAATATGTCACCTGTATGTTGTATTGTGTGTTCACCATCCAAAGTCAATTCTCCTCCCGTCACCATGTATCCTGCCGTCCCCCTCTGCCACCTCCCCCCACCCCACTTTCCCTCTGGTCATTACCACACTGTGCTTTTTTGGCTTAATGCCTTCACTTTGCTCACCCAGCCCCTAAGCCCTGCCCCCTCTGACAGCTGTCAGTCTGTGAGTCTGTTTCTATCTTGTTTATTCATTTTGTTCATTAGATTCCACACATTATCTTTAAATTGTATTAGAATTTGGCCGTAGTTTCTGTCAAAAAAAACAAAAACAAACAACAGCACCAACAACAACTACCCACAGTCTCTTGCAAAAAAAGCAGCACCTAAAAGGAACATAAGACATGCAGAAGAGTAGCATTATTTTCCAGGAAAATACATTAATTTTAATGACTACGTGTAGATAAAAGTGAAAGTAGAACACGTTTCCGTTGAAGTAAAACCACCGGAGTTCATGGTGTGCAACCGTGCGCCACACCACCTGCCGGCTGCACCAGCGGGCCGACCGCCTGCCCCAGGGGCCCCGGATGCCGCGGGTGTCTGGGTGGTTCCTTTGCCTGGAAGACCCTCTTCATCCTCTAGGGCCTGCCTCCAGTGATCCCCCACTGCCGCAGGCGGCGTCGCAGGCTCCCGCACTCCGCTCCCTCCAGGAATGGGGTCCTCGTCATGGGGCCCCGTGTTCAGTCCCCCTCGGGACTGGGAGCCCCTTGAGGACAGGGGCTGGTTGATTCCTCTCCTTGTGCAAACCAGACAGGCCGTTATGGTTTCCCCGGTTAAGTTCTGGGAGTTTAGCAATCAGAGGTGGTGCTTTTGAACATTCAAATTCATCCACATACCCCAACAGCACCCCTCCCCCATGACGCGGGCCACCTGTGCACAGCTCCCCGCCCGGCGGCGGCCTTGCCCTTGTTTCCTGAGTGCAGGGTGTTGGTGAGGACAGAGGGAGGGCGCTCTTCTTACCTTCAACCTCCATAAAGGATACGGCGAGTCCGTGTCTCGGTTGAAAAACCTAGTTGTCTTCGTCCCTGCGCTCAATAAATATTCAGCCGGCAAACCCTGGGTTTGTGAGATATACCGGATCTGCAGGAGAAGATGAGAAGGAGGTCAGGGTGTCTCCTGTCACCGAACGTGTGGCATATTAACGGCTCTAGTGCCTTTGAGAGAAATACAATGTTATAGGGAAAGGAAGAAGCAAAAAACAGGAAAAGGGAAAAGAAAGGGGAATAGAGGAAGCAAGCCGAAGGGACACGAGGTTTAAGAGGCGACTCGACGCCCCCTGACCTCACCCCCGTGACCTCACCCCCGTGCCGTGTTATAAGCGAACTGCTGATCCAGATGAGAGGCACGAGTGACTGTCCTGCACACCTGTGCCGCCTGGACCCACCTGGTCGTACTCTGAAGCGCCTGGATATAGCGGCCAGCCCAGGAACAGCTCCGCGATGACGCAGCCCAGGGACCACATGTCAATGGCCTCACAAAACGGTAAACCGAGGATGATCTCGGGGGCCCTAAAAAAGAATGGATGGAAGTATTAGCAGCTGAGAAATGTGGGCAGCCATTGCGCTATGAATTCAACATTAAAGCCTGTCTTCCACACCCGGTGGGGGGCTGCCGTGGACGCACCGCCCCCACCACAGGGCCTGTGGTTCTCTCACTGTGTGGCAGTGACTCCTCCCGCCTTGGGCTTGGTCCTCCCCACCAGCAGGGGGCCCAGCCAGAGGGCTGGTCTGTGGCTCTGGAGCAGACCTAGAGGGCCCCACCCGCTGACTCCGTTACTGTTACACCCCAACCAGATGAGCGGAGAGCCGCTGCGGAGGCGTCGGGAGCTCTGTTCTGTAGCTGAGAACTCGGGAAACCAGAGTTTAGAGCATGCCCGGGTTTTACAAAGGAGTTAGTTCTCAAGGACAGGTATCCTGTTTTCACAACACACTACACAAAACAAGTTGCCTCCACCCAGAATAATGGGATGAAACCCAGTATCCGTCCGCGCCACCAATCCCTTTCTTAGGGGTTTGCATCCCACTTTCCCTCGGAAATACTTTTTTTATTCACTGGCTTCTAAAAACTTCTCTCATGTTGCAACTACAGAACTGTGTTCACGAACACACAGCCTGGCTATCAGGCAGAGAACTCCACCCTAAACCCGTCCCCACGGCAGGAGCGGGGGCCCTTCGCCAGACAGGCAAGGTTCCCTGCGGAGCTGCTGAAAGGACTCGCCCAAACTCCGGACCTTTCTCCTGTAGCCAGTCATCAAACCCAGAGAGACCGGGGTGCGTCTTGTTGTCTAAGAATCTGTCATCGTTAGGTGGGGGTGCGTTTTGGAGAAAACCAAGCCCGAGTAAGAGATGAACACAGCTTGTGTTTTTAGAGACGGGACTCCAGGCGCTCTGCCAGGTACGAAGTGCGTTAGCCCACCTTCTGGGGCGGGGAGGAAGGGTGGGACCGGAAACACTTGCACCTGCCTTGGGCTTTGAGCTGGATTACTCCCCACCTTCCTCCTATAAATTTGCTCTCATTGCTAATATTTTTTTCTTCCTCTCCCTAACAGTATTGAACACACAAAACAAACCCAACAGGTCTTGTTACAAAGTCTTGAGTTTTCGTATGTGAAAAGGAGTTTCTGCGCGTCCTTCGAGCTGGAGATCAGCGCCATGCGGGTGCCTGTAGAGGCCTGAAGCCCAGGCAGCTGGACGCGATTCTCCTCCGGGCCACGCCTGTGTCCTCCCAGGAGGGTGCGGGGCAAGCGCCTCTGGGCTCCTTAACGGCCCGTCCTGTCCCTGTCCCCTTCCCGCCCGGCGTCTGCAGCTGCCAGTGCCCTGCCCGTGCGTGGCCCGCTCTCCAGCCCTGGTGCCCTGGGTGGTTTTATGTCCACCCCAGTCCCCTGCTGGACCGCCCTGCCTCACGGGGTCACTGTGCCCAGCTCGCCCACACACACCAGGGTTTCCGGACTCAGCCGACCATTGTGCGTGACTGGCGAGGTCACCGCAGGCTGCCTCTAGCAGTGCGATCTCTTCAGAGACGGCATTGGTTCACGTACTAAAAACCCCGTCAAACAGACCACATCCCGTAGGGAAGAAGCAATATCTGAACAGAACATTCTGGAGGAGACAACGCGTTCTTCGACAGGTGTCAGACGCTGCTTTTCTCCCTGCCTTTGCTGTTCCAGGGTCAGGCGTGCCTGCCTGCGACCCCTCCGGCACAGACGTGGGCCTCTTCCTGGGGGAAGGGCTGCGGCCTTGGCTCAGGGAGCCAGCGCCTCCTTTGCAGGCTGCTGGCTCCAGGTCACGCATCCCCACCTCTGCCCCCTGTTCCTGTCACCTGCACCTTTGCTCCCTGGGCAGCCTGGAGACTTCAGTCTCCAGACGGGTCTTAGGAACAGGCTTGTCTGGTTCCATGGGGGCATCTCTGGATGTGGCCACGGGGCTGCCCTTCCTACCAGGTTAATCCGCTGTTCTCGGGGTTCTCATGCCCCAAAGGGGGCCGTTCAGAACTTCTGGAAACCCACATCCCAGCTCCTGCTCCCTGACGCTGTGCCGCGCAGAATCTGACAAATGAGCCTGTCACAGGCAGGGCACCTCGGCAATGTTCTCTGGTGAGCATACCACACAGAGATTTTTGTCGGTCGACGCTCCGGACCAGGGCCTGCGAAAATCACCGAGCGTCCTTTCTCCACTGGCAAACGAGATGGCAGCCGTTCGTGCTGCTGCGGTAGGTGCGGCAGCGTATGTTTCTTGCCGTGACGGTAATGAGCAAATGTCAGGCTAGATGGCGGGGAGATGGAAGAGATGAGAGGTGCAGCCCTGTCCCCAGGGGCCCCAGTGCTGGGAAGGCCACTTGGAAACACACGTGACAACTAACGCTGAACACAAAACACACTCTAAAGACACGCAGACAGGAAGGCAGAGCCGATTCAAGCTCATAAATGTGCTCTAACACAGCCGTTGACGGAAATGTGTAGCCAAACGTGAGACAAAGCTCACTGAACAAAGCCAAGCCTTCTTTAACCCCGTCTGGTCCTGCAGCCGATGCCCTGCCTCTTCCTCCCCCCAGGAGCAGTTCCTGCGGCTCCCAGCATTCTGTTCCCACCGCCTGCGCACCTCCCCCACCTGCCTTCCACTCCTGATCCCACCCCAGATTGACAGTGACCGCGCCGTCACAGCCGCTGATCCACCTCTCAGCCCCGTGACCCGAGAGCGTCTCTCCCTGTCGGCATGACCGTCCCTGCTGTCCCGACACACTCACACCCCAGGCATCCCGCCTCTCTGCACGGGGCTCGTCCACCTTCCCTGCTGGCCCACCCGCTACCCAAAAGCTAAACGATGGCAAAGCCGAGGGACCCCTTCTTCTCTCTTTTCGGCCTTGCTCCAGGTCACTGTCCTGGGTTAAACTGTGTCCCCTGCAAAAGACACAGTGAAGTCCAAATCCCCGGTACCTCGGACTGTGATCTTGTTCAGGAACAGGTCACTGAGGGTGTGATGAGTCAAGATGAGGGCACACAGGAGTCGGGTGGGCCCTCAGTCCAACGTCACTGGTGTCCTTACAGGAAGAGTCTGCAGTCTGGACACAGGCGCGGAGGGAAGATGGCCGTGTGAAGGTGGACACAGAGACCGGACTGACGCTGTCACAGGCAGGGAAGGGGCTGCCCCTCGAGGCCCCAGAGGGCGCGTGTTCCAGCCGACACCTTGATTTTGGGCTCCCGCCTCCAGAAAATAAGTGTCTGTTGTTCTGAGTCACCCACCGTCATATCCACACCCACAGGTTTAAATTCTGTTCCTATTTCCAAATGTCTGTCTCCACCTGGAACCTTTCTCAGCTCCAGCTTTACGTTCTGTTGGCCTGACATCTCCACCGGAACGCTTCACAGTCCCCACAAATGTATGTTTAAGAGGGAACTGTCCCTCCGCCCAACTCGTCCCTGCCGTCACCACCCCGCTGCTGGTGGGATTGACCTCTGATTGCTCCCCCTCCCACGTCGTCCTCACCGCCCAACCACCAGCAAGGCCAGCTCTGAAGCCTGTCTCACACTGGGCCCCGGTTCTCCACCTCGGCCGCCACCACGCTGGCGCTGGCCGCCCTGTCTCCCCCGGAGCTCCCGGCCTGGCGCTTCCCTCCTCCAAGCCGTGGTCTGCAGAAGCCCAGTGATCGCATCACGCCCGCCTTGGCTCCAAGCCCTCCAAAGGCTCCCCACTCAGAACGAAGCCTGGTCCCTCCCACGGCCCACAGGGCCCTCCGGGATCAGTCCCCTCTCCTAGTTCACGAAGCTCCAGTCCGACTGGCGTCCTTTCAATTTCTCAAACACCGAAGCCGCTTCTGGGCCCAGAGCCTCCACGCGACATTGCTGTTTCTGCCTCACCCGCTCTCTCCGCTGGCTCTCAGATGGCTGCCCCCTTGTCAACCTCCAGGCTCAGCGTCATTGTCGCGGCCACAGGCCCTCGACACCAGTCAGTTTCCACCTGCAGTGCCACACACATCACTGGACAGCACCTGGCCAACAACCTGCCGACTGCCTCTCCCCGCTGCCCAGTCCCCAAGGCGGCACAGCGCCTGGCGTTTGGTAGCCACTCAAGCAGTGAGGCTTTGCTGGTGGAATAAACCTCTAAGAAATACAAGGACGTGCCAAAATACGTGATTCAGACGGAAAGTTCTAAGGGAGCACAAATAAAGGAGAGCAGAGGGGCTCGGTCTTCATGAAGGAACAGACACTTGGGCCCTCAAGGGCAGGGTTCAGCCCGAGGAGGGGTGGGCCTCCGTGTGGGCAGCGGCCCCCCCCAGGGGCCTGGGCCCAGAGACGGGGGCGTGGGCCCGCATCCCGGGCTCCCCTGAGCAGGGCCAGCACGCCACCTGCAGGCGGCTCCCCCAGAATTACAGCAGCAAAGCCAAAGAGAGGGGCAGGGAAGGTCTCTGAGAGTCAGGCCCCTACAGCCTCTCTCTGTTTCACCCTCTCACGTGTCCAGTTCGATGCTCAGCTGCCACTGCCACGGGTGCGGCCGAGCCCTGGTCAGTCCAGGCCCCCTCGTAACCCCTGCTGGTCCCTTGTCTTTGGTTTCAACCTTTTCCGATCTACCCCGAGACTCCTCCTCACCCACAAGGATGTATCCTTTCCTCCGTGTCCACAATACGGAGAAATCGATACAAGCTATAATACAGCTCGTCCCCCCGCCCCCTTCCTGACTCAGACCTGCACTGCCCACCTTCTCCGCGCTGGTGCAACTGGTGGAGAAGACAGGAACATGAACCCCTGGACTGGTCCGACAGAGGAGAATCGAGCGCCCACCGCTGTTCTGAGCACGTGTCCGCACATCTGCCCGAGCTGACCCTTCCAAGCGCACCCAGCGATGCCGTACAAGTGTCGGCTCAGCTCCCAGGCCCGGGCCCTCGGGTGAGGCAGGCACTTCTCTGTCTGGCCCCCAGAAATCCTCAGGGGACTGGAGGCCGTTCTGCTGTGATCTGGGAGATGCCGGGTCCCCTCCTCTGCTAGTCCAGAAGGCTCTGGGCTCCTGGAAGTTCA